GGAAATAAAGTTAGCCGAAGACGTAAGTCAATACTTCTATGGCGTCTTAGCTCGGCACTTTTCATACAATGTCACATGTTGTCAGTTCCCGACAACTCCATCACTGTATGCGTATCGCTCTCGCTATCGCGTGACTCCGGCACAGTCCACGGAGGGTTAAATTATGCAGAAAGTAGAGAGTTTTCCCTTCTGTCAACAACCACGTGCTCGCAACCATGTTGGCCTACTTCTGAACACCGACCGTTTCCAATCTAAGGTGTCCCATCCCCCTTTCATTTTTTCCACCTACACGTCTTTTCTCGCCGATGGATACGGGGCACGATCATTTCCCTTCAATAAATTATATTTCCCATCATGTATTCCGTTTGTAATTTCACGACGAACCTTCTTTGCGATTGCTTTTTTTTCCATACGGAATTGAGTTCCTAACGGATCGGGAAGTCGATTTATTTTCATTCCGCCGATGTACCGAGCATGTTTGTTCTGGGTTTCTTTTCCGTGGGTCTATACTTTTTGTAGATGGAATCCACTCTTTTCAATGTATTAAAGTTTCTTGTGATACGTTTGGGAATGTTTTGCTTGTGGTTTAGTCACGCTTTCGTTTGTTGTTAATACAAATTTGTGGGGTTCTCTTATTATCACAGTGAACGGAAGAATTTCAGATGTAAATTTATGGATTCATGAAATGTTACTGAGGAACTATTGAAAAATTGAGGAAATAATTTTAACTTTCTCACGCCTTGACTCTTAAATTGTTATTTCAACATTATGAGACTGTATATGTTGTATCTTGCTGGTTTGAAATCGAAAATCTGGATATTAAACCGACCTGATTTTAATTCTTTTGTTTATTTCTTCTTGGAAGGAATATTTGAATGTTTTAACCGAAAATGCTGAGATCTGCTTCATATCAGTAAAACTACGGATCCTTGCTGATAAATATTATATATTAACTATGTCTGTTACACCGGTGTAATACTGGGAGTTAAAGAATTAAACCTTAATTTGAAATTCAATTAATTGAATTACATTTTTCTGGACATATTCTATTCTGCATTCAGACTGTATACTCATGTCAAAAGGATCTTTTACGAAAATCATTTACAAATGAATATATAATAGAACATATTAGATATTGTGTTATTTGTAGTTCAAAGATTAGAAAGCTCATTATAACAATGTAATAAAATTGAAGAACTATCTATAACTGAGATTTCTGCATTATATTAATTTGTAAATGACTTTCGCGTACGCGTTTCTCTGTGTGAGCCAAATGATTTAATGGGGAAATTTTTTAATATAATGTATGTAATCATCTTTTCCTTTAATTTAATTTTAATGTAATGTAAATCCTTTCAAATAAAAGTTATATATTTTCGGGGACTTTATGTAGTATAGATTATGTAAAGGTGAAACCGGAAATAGTTTTAAAATGATCGAATTCGCAAAACTTGATATTAATTGAAATTTCCTCGATATTCAAAAGAAAGTTGAATAAAATTTGCGGAAACTGTCACTAAATTGTAACGACATTGTTACGGGGAATTGCGAAAATAATACAGAATATAGATCAATATTTTTCTGGTGGAATAAAATAATGGTAGTAAAAACATTGTTTCCATTTTTCATATCTTATTTAACGAAAGATCAATAATATTTTTATTCTTTTTTTCAACATTTCTATTTTATTTCTTTTAATTGAAGTACTACAGTCTCTTTGATATCTTCCACAATAATGTTTTAACTCACTATAGTAGCAACATTCCACTTAAGAAAGTCAAGTTAACCTTGAAATAATGTTGAAGGATACTTAGAACCTATAAATATTTTATTATTTTATAATAGAAACATAAAGTACCTTAAAAGTATCCGCGAAAGCGGTCTATATTACCGTTCTCATATACTATTAAGTCAGTACATATGAAATGTTAAACTTGATAGTGTCTTTAAAAAAAAAAAATTTCTAAATTCTAAATTCTAAAATTTCTAAATTCTTGGAAGTGAATTATTATTGAATATGAAACTAATATTTGAAAGGCAATCTTAACTATAGTCTACATACTAAATGATATCCTTGTTAACAAGTATACACTACCACAATCTTAAGTCAATTTTATCAAATTTTAGTTTTGGATTTAATTTAAATCTCAAATATAGATACACATAAGAATTATAATGAAATTTAATCCGAATCCTTAATAGTTTTGTAATTTACTCCAAACAATCCCTTAGTAGCTTGACTGACGATACAATCATTACTTCGTTAGAAATACATAGCAACCTTCAACTGAAAAAGCAAATAGTTATCACTGTCACTAATTTTCATTCACAAAAGCACCTCCAAACACACCAGTCTCTGAATCCAACGTATCCTATTATTAAATCACACCTAATCCAATAATCCAATTATTATCCATAATAATAGGACATTATACACATCCTATTCTTAAATCACACCCAACATCATGTTCAAAACCAAATCAGCAAATATCAATTCACTATCACCGATAGAACACGCACCTTAAAGCAGCACAGATCCGACCGTGAAATCGTTTATCACGCGGTCAAATTACCCTGACCTTTTCACCCACCGAAAACACTGATCACGATCGTCTCTCTTCCTGTATACCAGGTTCAACTACCGCCGCTCGCAGTAAGTCATCGTTCACGGCCATTCTATGTTTCGGCCAGTCGATCGACCCCTGAGTTTCAGGCAGCGTGCCAACGAGTTGGGGGGGGGGGGTAGGGTGTAGGGGTGGCTAATGCGGAATTTCTCCCTAGCGGAGGTCGTTGCCAAATGGGTCAACCGTGGAGAGAAGGGTACCAACCGGGCAACGCAAGCAAACGATATTCACGCCACTCGGGGAGCCATAAAAGTCTGAACCGCGGCCTAGCACCGCCGATCTATACTGGCCCTCTAAACGAATTATCGTGGCTTTAATGCCGGGCACCCTTGAAAAAGCACGACGGTCACGGAATCGATCTTCCTCGGTGTCCCCCTATCTTATCGACCCTCCGACATTCTGACTCTGTCACACTCCAGCACCTTCCTCTTCTCTGCTTCCTTGTAGTCTCGCTTACGAACTTGGGTTCCAGAGTTAGAAAACACGGACATACGTGAACCTTATGGTTCTGGTCGCACGAGCATCTGACGTAACGGACGTAGCGATCGATGTTGTTTTTCGATGGACGATATTTTTTCAGTCACACGAATGTTGGTTTTTTGGTAATCATAACTCTCAGAAAAGCCGTCTAATAGACAGTGGGCATTCGTGTCTTTACATATGTGCTGTGTGGCTAGATCAGTAATGTCCCATAAGGTGTTATAACGTCCCTAGTAATACTCGACGCACGTTGCGGCACTTGTCGACCGTTACTAATGTTATGAGAATGTCAACTTTAACGGATGTAGCTCGTGTGACTTTTTACATGCATTATAATGTTATGCTATGACGGATGTTATCGCTGTTCGTCGTAACGTCGCAGAGTGGGGTATTTGACCCGAAAAGCTGGCCAAAACTATTTTAAAATTTACTCAATCTTCAAAATCTCATAACTTTGTTACTATTCATCCAGAGTCGATGAAGCAAAAACCATTTTAAAGTTTGAACTTTTTCGTTTTTGGTTCTGTAAATAAATTTTATCACAATGGTTGTGTAGAGGGTAAAATTCACCCTTCAATAGAAGTGTGACAAACTGTACTTTTCCTTGATTTTCGCCAAGTGCTACGGAGTGCAAACAATATTTTTTTGCAATTTTGATACATACCACCGGAAAGTATGATCGTTTGTCTTTAAAATAAACTAAACCTCATCGAAGAACTATGTTGTTCAACAAAGATACAGCCCTTTAAAGGAAACCTATATTTTTCAAATGTTTTGTGTACGGTAAGATATGTATACATATACATATGGTACGATATATACATATAATAGAAGGTCATTAACGAACCCTAGTCCTAATAAAGTTAATAACATACTAAAAACTTCAATCGTCAGGAATTGACAGACGAAATTTACTTAATAGACACACAGGTCGATTGTATCTACAATCATAAACACTCTGATAAATAATATATACTTTAAGAATATTTTTTATTTGCAATATATAATAGAATTAATTTTCGTCAGAAAATGCTGTGCAAGATTCTTCATCAGACAGTATTTCTTGCTTATGATATATCTGACCTTCATATTTGTTGGACAATAAAAATTAATTTGGGTTATGGAGGGTTAAAATAGAAAATTTAGACATACTTTGTCAGAATGTCCCAGAAAGTATAGTGGATTTGACGAGTATAGCGTGTTAAGGTGTAACACATTCACGCGTGCATTTTATTCGCGTAAGGTGGACCTAATTGCTCACTTAGACCTCCAATATGAATATCAGAACTCTTCTAAACTGTACCACGATAACTGCCTTGACTGATGTCTTTGAACTACCTATAATTATCTATGAACTGTACTGATTGTGATGCTACACCTGTTTCTAAACTCAACTGACTCTGCTGCAAAATTCTTTATGTCAACACACTGATACATCCCCTTTCCATTTCGCCCTAAGCGCTCCTTCCCTAGACGGGGGTATAGCACATTGGCTATCCCCAGGCTCCGATGTCCAATCTGCTAAATGTCACTGCATGGCCTAGGAAATTCATTGATTATTTATGGTAGTGTCTCTGCATCTCCTCTGGAGTCGCCTGTAACCTGAAGCCGCAGGAGACCGCCCCGTTGCCATAAATTTAGCATTTCCTCTAAAGGTAAAAACATAGCGAGCAGGTCTAGGTCGCGGTACAGCTGACTATTTAGCTAACTGACGAAACAAAATTATTTGAGGCTAGCTAAATCCGCTAGTCCAGTGAGCCACGAGCTGATTAGTCAGCTATCTCCCTGTGTGGTGTTGCATTTGCTTCACCTGCTTCGCTCACTATATTTTTACCATAACACAATATAATTGCCACCCTCAAACATTCGAATCAGGAAGCATTCTTATCTTCGCAGATGTTATTTCTCTGGTCGAGGGAGCCAGCTCCAAGTCCAAAGGCGGGTCCCTGGTTCGCGTGGTTCGCCACAGCGTTGGTTCTCTGGCGTTGTAGACGAAGCGTCACCAAAGCGATTCTGGCGGTCTCCCCGTTAAGGCTGCTGAAGAAGCGCAACATACTACCGCTGACCAACTCGAAGGGATCATCGACGGTGACGTTGTCGAAGCAGCACCAGCAACGACTGAGACTGGAGAATCCTATTCTCCAACGCAAGCACAAACACGGGATCAGGAGGGTGAAGCGATTCTGCACCGGTGACGGGCCCCATGTTACCAGCTCGACGTCCGTCATCCAGACACCCCAGGTTCACTACAGAGTGACGAGAAGCGGAAAAGTTTACGGGCAATATTCACACAAGGCCGCCACGCTGGTGAACAGCATCTAGGAAAGCCACTGAACGTGACGAGCCCGTTTATTGAAATTGTTCAACGTCCATAGCTACCCTTGCATTTTTCGTAAGCGTAAACGGCGTCGCAATCGCCGCGGCCTCCGTGTATTCCCAAGTTTAGGCAAAAATCAGACACTCATGTACAAACCTCACCCTGGATGTGTCACTATAAAGTTGTCCGTTTCACCAAAAGATATGTTGTTTCTGTTCAATGACGCTGTGAATCTTATGTTACTCTGATGTTTATTGATACTTTCGTAAATTGTTTCGTGTAGAGAAATTATTAATTTATCGATTTAAAATTTGAGACACAACGTGTGTTTAACAATATCATTGTAGAAAGAAATTCTGGTCAGTGTATTGTTTGGATCGGGAGCGATATTCTAATAGATGATTGGGACTAAGGCTGATTATATTCGAAATATAAATCGTTTTAGTTATCGAAATGTTTTGAGGTTGACGTATTTTGATTTGATCAGCGATTTCACACGTAAGTGAGCTTCGTGTGAAAACGGTCGGAAAGTTGGCCCTGGGCTTAACAGGAAGACGCATTGCATACGCATGGAAGAAGAAAAGGGTCAGAGGAAAGAGAGAGAAAATTTCTGGAAGAATAAACTTGCATTTGGGTTTCCACTGGTGAATTCCATTTCTTTATAATCACAATATAATACATTTGTTTCGTAAAATTAAGTTATGTAGAGTACTCGAAATCAAAATTATAAATAAATCATGAACAAATTTATTCGCTGCATTAATAAAATATTTCGTCTGATTTCAAGTAATAACATATTTTACTTTTAGATAATTTCACGTTTAAAATACTCTAAAAATCAAATATAAATGATACAAAAATTCAAACAAGAAAATATTTATATTTCCAAGCAAAAGCCATGTGTACTTTCCTGAAAAATAAGTAACAATGCTATTTGATCAGATAAAATAATCCTGATTCCAACTATTAATTTATTTATCCTAAATTTCTATGTCTATATTATATTCATGTATCCATACCCATATTAATGTATTATAGATTTTTATTTATTTGCTTAATTAGTTAAACGTGGAAATTCCAATTTTTATAATAAAATGATATTTCATCTTGAATAATTGACAATTAGCACACAAATGTAAACTAATTACAAGCATGTTAATTTCATTAACTGTTTAAAGGTCACATTGTCGATCTTAGACATTGCCATTTCATTATACAACAGTGGTCCACCTAAAGGTACTGACCTAAATATCTCTTCCTGTGATGATTATATAAAAAATATAATGTATGCAATCTGAATATTGTCAAATAGCGAATACCCTGTAAAGAATATTTTTGTGCCAAGGTATTTTTTCGGAGTTTTCAATGTCATCGATGCTTATTTGCTAATAAGTGTATATTTTATTCCCTTACATATTGTAGCTGACATTAAAACGCATTCAGGTATATTAATAACATGACCATGAAGTGTCCTTTAACTCTGAAAATTGAAATTACATGTAAAATGCATTTCCATCGATATCACCGACCTCAGCAGTGACGGGCGAGAACCTGCGGATCTGTAAGGCAACATGTTCTAGAAGACTTGACCGCTGTTAAAGCAAGACATATATCACTTATTTTTGGAGTTATCATGTTATGTTAAAAGTTTCAAATGGTGTCCCTCCATAGATACGCATTGTCTAAAACGTGCAGTAACAGATAAACTTAAAGTTATTTTGAAAAACCCCACGTTCAAGGACAAGATTAATTCTTCCATTACATAAATCTTACTGAATTTTTAATTTCAGATGAACCGTTACGAAGTTAGAGTGATTACGGCAGACCACTTCTTGTGAAGAGACATCCGGGAGATCGCTCACCATTTATTTACTAATAAATATCTTTAAATAAAAAAATTACCTTATAATCTAGGAACTGCAATCTTTGAAACACGAACATATTTTTTGAAAAAGGTCTATAGTTTTTGAGAAAAAAATTCCCAAAAAACACTTTTTTCAGCTTTCTGACTAAGCATGACTTTTTAATAGAAGATTATTAATTTGAGAATACTCAGTAATTGTTCATTTTAAACCCTTTTTGGTATAATACTTTTTTATGTAAAATTTGAGGTTTTTATCCGAATTCGGGACAAAATATTGGGCATTCTATTTAATGAACTAAAACCCTCATATCTCGATAAAAAAGCAAAGTAAACAAAACAGATCACAGCATTGTATGTCCCCCTGGTAACCATGCAACATTTGTTTAAACAATTTAAACTCTCCGTGTAGGTTTCAATGTCAACAACAATATGTAAAGGAAAAAAATATACACTTTTATGTACAAAAAAACATCGGTGACCTTGAAAAACTCCGAAAAAATGACCTTGGCACAAAAATATTCTTTGCAGTGTATTCGTCTTCTGACACCATTCAAATGGCATATAACATATTTTTTTATATAATTACAACTCAAAGAGATATTTAGGCGACTTTAGCTGGACCACCCATTATGACACGCTTGTGATGAGAAGAATTCCACTATAACATAGCCTATGATGTACAAAATTCACTGGACAGTGAACGTGTTAAAGGATTCAGTCGGTTCGCCAAGAAACGTGTCTTCTTGTTTCTTCCTGACGTCCTTGACACACATTTGGCCAGCTAGGTCGTATGACAGAGACCTTCGTCTGAGTCACTAGCGTATTCAGAATCCACGTCTACCACAAGCGTCGTTTTGGACTCTTGATCTCTCTTCTCTCCTCTCACGTAGGAGCAGATCAATAAGCGTTCGGTGTGTTTCATCAGGTTAGGGTATCCTTACCACCTCGTGTATATGGTTTGTATTTGTATCTCACGCACACATTAGCGAATCGGGCGTTTTGGGTCTGTTTGATGGCTGGTCTTTCGTGATGTTCACAGTGGCATCATCGTCGTTGTCATGGCACAAATTTACAATGGAAAATTGAAGTGTTATTGACTGCGGAATTTGAATGAAAATTCACATCTTTATGGACTGATCTATCAAGATGGCCCACTTTTTCTGTTGAAGTTTTTATTATGTTGAACATGAAGTAAGGATAGTGTTGAGCTTTTCTGAAGTTTTATGTTTTAATTTATTTTATATATTCATGTGTGTTATAAATACATTAAGGATTACTGATGACTAAGTGTATCCTTCAAGTTAATAATGAAGTCATCTTTTTCGGACAAAATAATGTAGGACTGTAGGATGTTAGAAAGGAAGAAATAATACTTGTCTTCTCTCATTCTTTAAGTCCCATCAATTACCATAAGTTACTACTGTACAGTTGTATTATACTTGTAAGTAGTTTCGCTTCCTTGAGGAATTGGAGCAGTAGACGTATTTCTTTATGATTGCAAAAGTTCTCGTTTAAGTTGTAGCTTGTGCTGTCTTTTGTTGTCGTAATGTCGAATATGTACTGTAGTGTATAATTAAATGGGTGACAGTAATTTTACGTTACAGTTGTCACAACTCTTGAATTATTATTGATTATTATGAAAGTGGTGTATAATCATGTATATTTCGATTCGAAAATTCTTGCATAATGTTGAAATATAAATTGATGTAACATAAAATAAGAGGACAAGGCAATTTTTTTGTTTTTTTAACTTGCATCACTTTCATAATCACCGACACATGTTTGTGTGTTCAATTTAATTCGGGACATCGCAATTTTTTTTTTGTTGATCTGGTGTTATGTTCTCCTTACAATATTGTTATTATATTCCACTATGAATTTCGTAGCATTCAACGCAAGAAATTTCCTACAACGTTCTTCCTGACAGTAGTTTGCGGCCTTAAAACTAAAAAATAATTTCTAAATAGCGAATACCCTGTAAAGAATATTTTTGTGCCAAGGTATTTTTTCGGAGTTTTCAATGTCATCGATGCTTATTTGCTAATAAGTGTATATTTTATTCCCTTACATATTGTAGCTGACATTAAAACGCATTCAGGTATATTAATAACATGACCATGAAGTGTCCTTTAACTCTGAAAATTGAAATTACATGTAAAATGCATTTCCATCGATATCACCGACCTCAGCAGTGACGGGCGAGAACCTGCGGATCTGTAAGGCAACATGTTCTAGAAGACTTGACCGCTGTTAAAGCAAGACATATATCACTTATTTTTGGAGTTATCATGTTATGTTAAAAGTTTCAAATGGTGTCCCTCCATAGATACGCATTGTCTAAAACGTGCAGTAACAGATAAACTTAAAGTTATTTTGAAAAACCCCACGTTCAAGGACAAGATTAATTCTTCCATTACATAAATCTTACTGAATTTTTAATTTCAGATGAACCGTTACGAAGTTAGAGTGATTACGGCAGACCACTTCTTGTGAAGAGACATCCGGGAGATCGCTCACCATTTATTTACTAATAAATATCTTTAAATAAAAAAATTACCTTATAATCTAGGAACTGCAATCTTTGAAACACGAACATATTTTTTGAAAAAGGTCTATAGTTTTTGAGAAAAAAATTCCCAAAAAACACTTTTTTCAGCTTTCTGACTAAGCATGACTTTTTAATAGAAGATTATTAATTTGAGAATACTCAGTAATTGTTCATTTTAAACCCTTTTTGGTATAATACTTTTTTATGTAAAATTTGAGGTTTTTATCCGAATTCGGGACAAAATATTGGGCATTCTATTTAATGAACTAAAACCCTCATATCTCGATAAAAAAGCAAAGTAAACAAAACAGATCACAGCATTGTATGTCCCCCTGGTAACCATGCAACATTTGTTTAAACAATTTAAACTCTCCGTGTAGGTTTCAATGTCAACAACAATATGTAAAGGAAAAAAATATACACTTTTATGTACAAAAAAACATCGGTGACCTTGAAAAACTCCGAAAAAATGACCTTGGCACAAAAATATTCTTTGCAGTGTATTCGTCTTCTGACACCATTCAAATGGCATATAACATATTTTTTTATATAATTACAACTCAAAGAGATATTTAGGCGACTTTAGCTGGACC